TGAGCTTTTGAGCAGAGGTTGAGTTGGTCAAGAAAATTGTGATGGCTGGGGAGCATGCTTGATCAACTATATGCCTGAACCTCGACGACGGTCCCCCGCTAAGAAACTGGGTGGAGAGCGGGTTAATTAAGCTAAACGAAAGTACTTCTAAAATTAGATTTGCACATTTACATCTGTCGAACAACATCACTTTGTTTTCATAAAAAGCTGTCTAGACAGTGATGCTTGGAGGTCTAATTGTCATGCGAAAACCCCAATTTCTCGAGTACACGACCAAACTTGCAGACTGCTTCAAAACATTTGCAGAGGAATAACAACTCGACCAACTCATTCATGCATTTATGCATTCGCTTCACATAAGTTAAGTGGTATCATGGTCTAGGAAGATTGAGCGAAGCTGAATCACCCAAAGCGTTCCAGACCCACAATCTTAGGCACTTCAAAATCATCTGCCACATGGGAAAGAGTGTCGTGATTGAGATAGAAGGCAAGTATCAAATCCCACATCATTGTGCAGTGGTATAAGTTTCAAACCCAACAGGGCATGCTGCTTCTGAAGATTTAGGGTAGGGTAGGCGAGGGTGCTGTGGAGCTGAGCGTCCAATGTGTCAGTACAACAAGGTGTCTGCATAGAGAGAGCAGGACTAGAGTTTCAGTTCTAAATGTGATTAAATTTATTAATTCCCTTTCCCTATCCGTATAGACTTTTTCCCAGAACACTTGTGAAAGCGATATTGTGAGAGTTTCTAGAGATAAAATTTATGACCAACTCGTTGTTTCATCCGATCCAAAGTCCCTAAATTGCAATGCGACAAATGTTCGTGACAGATCCCTTCTGAGAATTCCAATTTCTTTCCTTTGAAAATATTCTTTCTCCGTAGCCGCAAAATCTTACGGAGAGGAGAAAACCAAAGTCATTGCAAATACAAAGTACCAAGAGTACACATCTTAGCTTGACCAGTCTACAAGGTAGGTGGATGATGATGCCGATGTAGAAGTTCGGTATTCTCAATTGCACTAATCGCTGACGTTTCATGACTTAGCATGACCTCTATTCTGAATTAGAGTTGGAGATATTATCTTACCTCTAAGGAGAATCACTTCTGCACACGATCTGCGAGTGAAATTCACAAAGAAGATAAAGAGAAATACAACATGTCTACGGTTGGTCTAAATCAACGAAGCAGGGACCAGACGCGGCTATTACAAGGGTCTGGGGCTCTATTTTCACACGAGGTAAATAGGTTTTCCTCCGCCTCCAAAATTGCGAACCACTAAACACCTATTTTCCTTCTTCCATTTTAAAGGCCAACAAGTCTTCTGTTTGCCTCCATAACCATTATTTATATTATTTTTAACATCGAAAGTTCGTTTGCATGCATCAAAGAACTTTTCATACATTCCCCTTTAGTAGAACAGCATTATACCACTTAGAGGACGAAAGCTAAAATAGATAAATAGAAGCTACGGTAAGGTTACGTATTAAACCGAACCTTATTCATGCCATTGTGGTCTGAAAACATCGGACATACCATCAAAAATAGGCACAATCTGAACCATGAAACGAGTAGTTGAATAAGTGTTTGAGTCTAGAGAAAATAGACTTTTTGACAGGTAACTAAGGCATGAAGCGTGAATGCATTTGGCCATCTGGCATTCAAACAATCATATTTGTACACCTAAATTGCAAAAGGAAAGCGAGAGGGAGAGCGTGGATGAGGCTGAATTGTTGGATCTGCCCACATGTTCTCCATGTAGAGACATATTCGGCCCGTAAGATGATATCAAAATTTGGCTATTTTGAGGGCATCAGGTTATTAGGGTTATTAGGTTCGTGGGTGCACCGGTAGTTGTTTTGAGCAGTAGCGATAGGCATAGGGATGAAGAATACTAACCTCTAATTTCATCACACTAATGGACAGTGCTCTAAAGCACCAAACATGGGGTTATCATGCGCCATGAAACCGTGCATTTTCGCGTTCCAAGGCAATAGTAATAAACTAAAATTAATGACCATAGAGATATGTGCAGCCAAGAAAGAAATGAGAAATTTGACAGGTGTTTGATAAACTCGATAAAGTACCGTGTCAGACCCAAAAAGGACAGTCAGGACTTTTAAAAGGTGAATGTCTAGGTTCCCAAAAAACAGGTGGGAAAAGGTGATCACAAATGCCTCAGGAGATTATATGGCAACCTCTAGAGTTCCACTGTTAATGGAGCAGTTAAACCTTGGTGACAGAGCATGTCTTTGTATAAATCATCCTATTGAAAACACTACTAGATTTGGTTAATTGTATTTTGGAAAGCGTGTTACTCGCCTGCCGTAAATACCTGCCCGGAAATCGCTCCTAGGTGGAACTTTTAAATAGCATGGGGAGAAATGCAACAATTTACCGGTGCTATAAGTGGTGACGTGCCTCTTTTCTGTCATTTAATTATTCATTAGCGCAAATGCAACTCACCAGTGCCATTTACCTATTACAAGGGAAACTAGGTACACATACTTCTCCGCTGCTGCAAGCAAGAGCATGGTAACTCAAAACACTTAGGATGCAGAATCTCTCCAAAACACGGAAAACTTGCCTATTTATTGCAAAAATAAGGTGTGTTGAAGCAAACTGGACTAAACCTTATTCCTCAAACCAAAAGCAACTAGAAAGGAACTTATTTAGAAGTGTTATTATTATACTATGAATAATGGTGTTGGTTATGCTGCTAGAAAGTACTTTACAAGTGATATGGACGGCATGGTGTTTATACGAAGAAGGACAAACTGTGCCAACAAATTACGCTTCCTTTACAATTCTTAGAGCCTAAAGTCGCTTAAACAAATAATGAGCATAAATAAAGTGGAATAAAGCGACAGAGAAATCTATGCATCAGAATGCTTCTATGGCAGTAGTATTAGGCTTTGTCCACGGCCGCTCAATCCTCCTGTATGCAAAATGTCCAACAACTTACTGGTTAAACTCGTCGCAACCTCAGAAAGAGGTCAGAGGGCTACACCTCCACCTGTTGTGCCACTCAATAGATGTAAGTAATTATTTAAAATTAGTCTTATCCACTATATGCATAAATATTTTTTCCAATTGTGCAATATCGCATTATGGAATTTTTGCGAAAAAATGTAACAAGCTACAAGTAAATTGCATTTGCTGGAGCACTGCGTTTGCAATAAAAAAAGCAGATGAAATCGTAACCTTGAGTGCGGCGCGATTTACAAGGGGTTTTTTAAGGTCCACCCATCCATCGATGTCGAGATTTCCAGGTATGCAAATAACAGCACACTTTTTTTGTTTTGCGTAAGTTATCAAATTTTAATCATCCCTGACAGTCCGAGTCCATGCGTAATTGGGTTCTTGTCTTGTCTTTAAGCGCCACCATCTTCTCTAGGTTGCCACTATCAGGTTAAACAAAAAAATTGTAATCAATTTTAGCCGCATTTGCACACGCAAAAATAGGTATACAGGTATGTTTTATTGCCTATGTATTCTTTCGCATAGAAATTAACCTAAGGTTCCACTGGACGCATTAGACAGGAGTGCAGAGAACTTTAGAACAAATCGTGATTTCCCTTCGGTAAGTTTTCGCCTCCTTCTTGCACGCGCTGACCTATTGCAGTCCATTCCTCGTGATGCCTGGTGGAGACGGGAACCCCGCCAACATGATAATGCAAGCCTACTTTATCAATAAGATTTAGATTGACCCATATGAAAATGACACTTTGATGCTCATGTGGGGTTTGTGTGTCTGTCTATGTTGCCTTTCAATGCAACTCATCCTAAATTTTGAATGGTGACAGCTCGAGTATCAATCCGCACAGATGAAGTCTGCATTGCAATCGCTTTACTTATGACCCCTCCCCTTTTTACCGTTTTAGGCAAAGGACATTGGAGAAATGCAGCTAAGAATTCAGAAGCTCTGACGTGAGCACATCTTGGCTCGTGTACGATTCGACAATTTAAAAAACTTTTAATGCTTTAAGCTTGACAATAAATAGGCAATAAGAGTCATCGCACTGCGACACAAAAAACTTATGTATACTTATAGCTGGAACACCTTGACATCCACCATAGGCATTAGGGAATGCATGGATGCTAAACGCACTGACGCATGGTTCGATTTAGTGGAAACTCTATTTTATTTCATAGAGATGACTTAAAATATCAGGATGGAACAAAGGTCCAAATGCACACCACCAAGCAATGCATTTCTGAACAAATTTTTTGTATTTTACAAGGAACCGATGCGTATCGTTGTAACAAATCGCTATACAAAGACTTCTACAACAAAGCAACATCGCCCATGGCAAACGGTGAACTCCTCGCCTTCGGTAATGTCATTTAATAATTAAAAAGCATCCAAAGGAAGGGGTGGGACAGAAGTAGACAGAAATGTGAGTCGCTTATGTAGTACTTGCATAGTACACCACTTTACTGCAATAGAAGTTGCATTGCCACCTGGATTTCAAAGGTGAATTCAAAATAGGTGTTAAATCAAACGTTTGCTAGTTCCGAGTGCCCAGCTACGGAAGGTAGACCTGACGCCAGGTTACTGATTTTTGTTTTTGTTCGGTATATGGGGAGGAGGCATTGGACGAATAATTTGCATCACGCAGACAGGTACTAGGGTGAAGAAATTGACTGCTTGGTGTTGACAATAAAGCGTTTGCACTAAAATGGTGGGAAAAGGGTAGTAGAAAGTATGCAATCCCACAACCAGTAAAGTGTAACAGTAAAAATATCAACGATGGATACAACACAGACTTCATGTGTGGGATCACAACGTTTACCGGGTACGGGATTGGGCAGAAGGCTTGGTAGACTGTGCTGGTCCAGGGGAACTTCCCATAAAAGAAAACCATTCCTTGTTAGCCCAATCATTCAAAGGCGAGTGTAAAATGTGGTTAATAATGCAATTGTAATGAATAATTAGGTATGACAGTGGTTAAGGTAGGCCTCAGTAAATGTCGGATGTGCAACTGAAGGTGAAAGCTTTGACAGCGTAGGATGAGCAAAAAGTGTAACCAAAATCTCATTTAACTGGATAAAAAAGAACGCTAACAGAGGGTCAGTGCTTCGCTGATGCTTAACATGAAAAAAGCTAATAAATGTCACATTAAAACATGGCGGATTAGATGAGCCGCCCACATGCAGTTTCGCAAATCCAGAAGAAAAAAAGAGTGAGTAGCATGCTGTAACTTGACTGACGAATTCCTACAAAGCGCAGTCGCTCCGTTCTGTGCCATGCCACTCTAGCAAGCGCTCTTTCATCGTTAATGGCTTCACGGCACAGGATTGGCATGACTACCCTACACTGACTGATCAGTGATAGAATGCTCCAAGACCAGTGCATAATAGCACGGCGTGTTGCCAAAGTGTGTCATATCATGTAATCTACAGCATTAGCTTAAAGGAGGTAAAATTTGAGTGTCCAGCCTCAACAAACACTTTGTCTGAAGAAAAGGTGGGTACCGGAGCAAAAAATGTATATCATATCATGACATAAAGCATCCACTAGGTTGGTTTAAACAAGGCCGTGCATGCATGAAGTGGGGAATAGGTAAAAACGGTTATAAAATAAGAGGTGGTTAGTAATAATTATTAGTGCTGCTGAAAAGAGAAGTACTTACACCGAATCCGGCAAAGACTGAAAATGAAGGCAGGGAAATATTCACTTTACTTCCCTTAAATCGGAGCAGCAAAAAAGTGTCTTTACAAGGGGTGCATCCTCATTGAACCTCTAGCAGAACGAGTTGTCTACGGACTTTGATTTACTACTACAAACAGAGGTCAACTTGGAAAAATGAGAGTTAGGTCTATCATTAGTTTCCCCTTAGTGGGTTAAGTGATTTACTTCATAATAGAGGAAAGAGATCAGAGAGTTATACCTAGTATTCTTAATTATGATTACGACTGGATGGATCAACATCGTCAGTAAGTTTCGGATGGAATTCTGCAGATGTTAGTGGCACTTTGTGTACCTTTCTTGTGCATTTAAACATGGTAATAAGTCACAAAAATGAGGTGTACGAGGAATTGCTTTAAAGAGAGCCTACACGGGCAGCAGGGTCAAAGTGAAGATCCTCGAAAAAATTTACCTGCGAATTCGAGTTCATACTAGCAGGTTCGCTAGTGGTGTGAAAGCTTTCATGAGGCTTAGAGTTACTAAAAAGAGGAGGATAATAGGAGAATAAGCAAATCTCAAGTCGCCATTGTTTCGCCAGAAATTTGTTGATGAATTACAAAGGCATTAATAACTATAAAGGTGGGTAATTAACATACCGATCGGTGGAATTTGACTCTGTTGGGCAAAATGATAGACATTTTAAATGGCCTGAGTGATAACTTTTGTGAAAATGTGTGCATTAAGTGCCAACTCACGAGCCCTCGAACGTGATGCTGAGGTACTAATTTGACGATATGCATCTTGCTAAAAAGTAATAAGAGTTAAAAAAGACAAACGGATCCACAAATTTTGCAAGACATAAAAAGCATGGCGTTTGAGGTTCAGCTATACATAATAGATTGTGAAGAACACGTCCACAGTCATTATTCTTAGGGAGGTAATAATCCAATTAAAAGTAGATAGACGATGGTGAATAACAAAGAGCCGAAAATCACTTGAATGTCAAACTTAGAATAGGGCTACTTTCAGTAACGAAGGTGAATCAGAACTAGAGCACAAATATAGAGAGGAGATTTCACGCCTTCAGAATTTCTTGGGATCACAGTAGTCCAGAAGCTTCAATTGTTGACTAATTTCCTAACATTCTAGAGAGTCTGGCTTTTCCCCACCCCTTCCTAATCGGTACAGATAAACGCTCGAAAGCCAATTAGATGCTACAAGTACGCGTAAGTGAAATCGCTTAGGCGGAGACACTCAAAGCAGTCTCTAGCCATCGGTCGCGCATTTACCAACCCCACACCCTCACTTCACGCATTGCGTCAAAGATATCTCCACTAATATCGTTACATCGTGCGCACAAGTGCCGTTTGTAATACCTGACGAACAAAAGGCTACTTAAAAATCGAATTATTTTACTTGTATGCATCTGATTCAGCTGGTCTTCGGGGATAGGAGGTGCCGAATCATGGGCATGCATTCGGATGCATCTTAAACGTCCCTACAAGTTTTAAATATTCTCGACCAAATACGCAAAAAACCACGCAAATTTAGAGGCCATCTGATTAATTGGGAACTTTGTCGAACCGAGGGATAAGCTAACTCCAACTGACATACCACTTTTGTTTCGTGAACTGAAGGCTTCGGTAGAGACAACGTAGAAGCATACACATTAGCGGAGTCATCTTAAAGAAAGTGTAGGGGGAATGTGAAATGACAAATGAGAAGAGCCAAATCAATATCTCTTCAAAAGAAGTGACAGGCTATTCTCTTCAACTAACTTGGTCTGCGATCCGAGAAAAGGATTAACCAAATGAAAACAGGTCTGATAAGATAAATTTATTATAACAAAAAATCCTATTTAATTTTGAATTCTTTTAGAATTATCAAATGCTGATGTAATCCAGCTAAATAGTTTGGTTCAAATTAGGATTCTGAGTCACCAACTTACTACTTATTTTAGGCCATTCTGAAGAAGCATATGGAGTGGCTTCGTTACGCTAAAGGTAAGCAAATTGGCGGAATGATGGTTATATTGCAAAGACACAACGCATCTTATCATATCAAGATACTCGCATTTCTACCCATAAGACAATCAAAATCGACTGATAAGCTAAAAATAGTGCTGCCTTCCAT